CCACAATACTTTGTAAGTGAGCCACTCATCTTATTTTACTAAAATATAATCTAAAAATATACTTTCAAACTACTTTTTAACAAATTGAAAATGATTCAGATGCAAAGCATTAAGGTGTGGACATTTTAAATACTTTCGAACAATTTAAAATTTAGAGATATTATTGACTTTTTACCCTCGAAAATTTGACATTCACTTCCAAACATTAAAATAATACTCGTATATAAACTACGCTCCATTTTTCAAAATCTTCTTCATTTATGCAATATACTTGAAATTAGTATTTTTCCCAAATCAATAATTTTAATAACTTATTTTTTTTTTACCCACATTTGTTGCAAATGATTCTCTAACGCCGTGTAACCAATACATCTTCATGTCGTTATACTAGTTATTCCACTCATATAAAAAACAATTTAGTGCTTCAAACATAAAAACTAAATATTTATTAAATTTCCTACAAAATGTCAATTATCTCATTCAATCGTTATACTTGTTGGAACAAGCACAAAAGCTTGTATGTGAATCAATGGCGGTGATAGATAATTTTGATGAAAATTGGAGGATTGAGGAAGATGAAGTTTAGAGAGAATAGAGATTAATTGAGAGGGTAAAAAATCATATATGACATTATTTCATTCAACATATTACAAAATGTATATATAATGCATACTAACACTAAACAAAGTAACAAACAGAAGCTAAACAAAACCAGCCTAAAACTAGAAGCATTTTTCTGGTTTTTCCTGCAGCATTCTGGCAGCTTTTCTAAATAGCTTCTAATCATAGTTACATTGTATTTGACTTATATAACATCCAACACACCACCTTAAGTCAAATGCTCGATGTTCTTCATCCCCAACTTCACCACGAGTCGCTTGAAAACATCGTTTGTAACCGATTTCGTCAAAAAGTCCGCGACTTGTTCTTCACTTCTGCAGTAGCTTAAACGTAACTGTCCAGAACTCACCAAATCGCACAAGTAATGGAACCTCATCTCAATGTGCTTGCTTCTCCCATGTGCTATGAGATTCTTAGCAAGGTTGATGGTTGAAACGTTGTCCACCAACAACAAAACTCCCTCTCTCATGCAGTTGTCCAGCTCGCGCAACAGATTCACAAGCCACACAGCTTGACATACACACATCGAACCTGCAATATACTCTACCTCGCAAGAAGAGAGAGCAACCACCGGCTCCTTTCTAGAACACCAAGAGATTGGTGCACCGCCGAACATAAAGACATAACCCGCCGTGGATTTTTGATCGTATTTATCTCTGCACCAATTGGAGTCGGTGTATCCAAGTAAATTGCAACTTCTGCCCGTGTCACTTGCTGGAAACAAAATTCCACAGCCAAGAGTACCTTTCACATAACGAAGGATCCTCTTAACCGCTGCCAAGTGTGATACCTTTGGCTTTTCCATGAACCTACTAGCAATACTGACACTAAACGCCAAATCAGGCCGCATATTGCACAAGTAACGCAATGATCCAACCAATCTTCGGTATTGAGTTGGATCCACATCTTGCTCTTCCTCACTCTTGGATAGTTGTAACTGTGCCTCGGATGGGGTTATGGCAGCATTGCAATGCTCCATATCACACCTCTTCAAGATCTCTATTGCAAACCTTCTTTGATGCATGAGCAGCCCCAACTTTGACTTTTGGAACTCTATGCCTAAGAAGTATGTCATAGCACCAAAGTAACTCATTTCAAATTCCCTCATAAGCTCTTGCTTGAACTTTGAAATGTATGATTCACAACTTCCGGTAATCAACAAATCATCCACATATAGACAAAGAATGATCACCCCTTCGCTAGCACCCGTTTTCACATACACCCCATACTCGGACACGCATTTCTTGAAACCAATATTGTTAAGAACACTTCAAACACCTCATCCTTCCTCTTAATGAGGTAAATCCACAACTTCCTACTAAAATCATCAATAAACGTGACAATGTATCGATTGTCACCGTAGGAATTGACTTGCATCGGTCCGCATACATCGGAATACACCACCTCAAGGTGATGCTTGGTCCTATGACCCGCATCCTTGCTGAAATTACTCTTGTGTTGTTTCCCGTGAACACACTCTTCACATATTTCAGCTGGAATATTAATCCTTGGCAGCCCGGACACCATACCATGTCTTTGTAACGCGTCGAGATCACGAAAGTTGAGATGACCGAGACGGTAGTGCCATAAACATTCCTCACGACTTGCAGCAGTAGCTAAGCACCTATGCTCCATAACTTTCAACTCAATCTTGAAAGTTCTATTGGCAGCCATAGGAGCCTTAAGGATCAAAACTCCATTTTGGTCCAAAATGCGTAATACTTTGTTTTCCATGCGAATTGTGTAATTCCTTTCAAGTAATTGACCAATGCTTAAAAGGTTACACTTAATTCCAGGAATGTACAAAACGTCCTTGATCAAGGAATGACCACCACCCCTCCTCATGATCAAGACACCACCGACACCGTCGGCCGCCAAAGTCGTATTATCCGCGAATCTCACTCTACTTTGTGTGGCTTGATTGATCTTCACGAACCAATCTTTTCTACCCTTCATATGTGTCGAACAACTAGAATCCAAGTACCACTCATCACTACCTTGGACTCCATCTCAAACCGTTACTAATGCTTTTTTCTCTGAATGCATTTTCTGCAGTTTTTCTGCACTGTAGTAGTTGCTGTACAGCAAATTTCTACTGCTGTCCATGCCATTATTCTCCTCCGTAATTGCCACAAGAAGTGTGATATCATCATCCACTTCTTGCCTAGCAACCTTAGCTTCATCTGTATCACTCTCCTTGCGCTTGAAACGACAATCTCTTAAGAAATGTCCAAGCTTTTGACAATTGTAACATCTCTTGGTACTTTTGTCGAGCGGCTTGTAGTTGCCTTGACTACCATCCTTGGAGGTTCCTTCTCCTCTTTGTCCTCTTTAATTTTGTGGATCTTTTCCACCAAAATTCTGGAAATTCTTCTTATCTCTAGAAGACCATTTCCCTTTCGATCTCTTATTCTTCTCATTGAAACGAGCTTGCAAAGCCACTTCCGCTTTTGCCTTATCGTTTCCTCTTTCATCCATCCTTTGTTCATGAGCTTCCAATGAACTTTGTAGTTCATCCTTCGTCATGGTCTTAAGATTCTTCGATTCTTCAATCGCAACAACAATGTTGTCGAATCTTACCGTTAAAGAACACAACACCTTCGACACAATGTTTTCCTCCGAAACCGACTCACCGCAGGCCTTCATTTGATTCACCAAACGCGTCACACGCGTTATGTAATCGTTGATCGTTTCTTTCTCTTCCATTTGGAGTAATTCAAACTGCCTCTTGTGAGTTTGTAACCTCACCATCTTCGCCTTGTCAACTCCCGCATACGCCTTCTCGAGTATATCCCAAGCTTTCTTCGCCGAGTCACAATCACCAACCTTTTCGAAGTTGTCTTCATCGACGCAAGAATGTATCAAGAAGTGAGCCTTGTAGTCTTTCTTCTTCTCTTCTTTGTTAGTGGCTTGTTGGGCAGCTGTAGCCTCTTCAACAAGAGGGGTAACACCGGTAGTAATCACATCGAGCACGTCTTGGTAGCCAAACAAAACTTTCATTTATTTGCACCATTTGTTGTAGTTCTTTGAATCAAGAATGGGAAGATTGGTGGGGATCTTGTCGTTTGAAACGAACATTGCAGCGGAATAGGATCGGAACCAAAGCTCTTGATGCCAAATGTTGGAACAAGCACAAAAGCTTGTATGTGAATCAATGGAGGTGATGGATAATTTTGATGAAAATTGGAGGATTGGGGAAGATGAAGTTTAGAGATAATAGAGATTAATTGAGAGGGTAAAAAATCATATATGGCATTATTTCATTCAACATGTTACAAAATGTATATATAGTGCATACTAACACTAAACAAAGTAACAAACAAAAGCTAAACAAAACCAGCCTAAAAACAAAAGCATTTTTCTAGTTTTTCCTGCAGCACTCTGGCAGCTTTTCTAAATAGCTTCTAATCATAGTTACATTGTATTTGACTTATATAACATCCAACAATACTATAGTAACATTTCCCAATTGTATAACTTTCTCCATTTCTAACCTTCTTTTTACTTTGCTCCATTTGATTTGATGTGTCTCCTCCGATCATAACTATCATCCTAGTTTGTGAGTATCCACATCCATCATATCTATTTAAGTTCTTTAAATGAGACCCACACAATTTTTTATATTATTTTCCACTTCTCAAATATCCATCTAACTCATCAAAAAATCTAAAATGGGTCTCACATTTAAAACAAATCAACTACATTCTTGCAATTTTATTTATTAATTTATTATCATGGCCCACTTAATTGGAGTGTAGAAACGTTCTCACATTTGATAATAGGTTGTAAATGTAGAACTGCAAGTTTGAATCAATTATTCATTTATTTTGACAGTATGACATTGAATATTGTGTAGGAACGGTAGTGCAGCAGGCGCTAATCATACTCTAAGTGTAGTTATTAGCGATGACTAATTAAACTTAAAAAGATTATAATTTTATAGAGATAAAAAATATATTTAACTCAATTGATATTAATTAAAGAGCAATTGTAAATTAAAAAAAAAACAAATTAAAAAGTAAAAGTGACATTTTTTTTTTGTTGCTAAGTTGACTTTTAACATATAGAGATAATATATATTTTGAAAAGAAACATGCACTAATGTTCAATAATCTCTAATAAGAGTATCCCACACACATCTTCTATTCATGAGTTAGTCTTGCATTTACTCAATCAAAATTTGAATCATTGGTGGCAAAAACAAAAACAAAAACAAAAACTAGTATTGTAGTTGAAGTGGGGCCATAATCTTAAATGTAAAATGTTCAAACAAGTAGACACGTAAATAAATTCACCGTCGGTTTCTCCAAAACATTTGTTTCACCTCTTTGATCATCATTTTCCCATCTCTTTCTCTTGAAGCCAGAGAGACATACACCATGGCTCCAGAGGTAATAATTCCATCCTTGACTTTTCTTTTTCACACTTTCTTTTCTCATTCATCATCACTATTCTCTTGTCTTGTCCCCTTCCATTTCACACTCTTCACCTGGTTTATCAGTTAAATGTGTGAGACACAGATCCTATGTTGTTAGATAGTACATGTTAGTATAATAGTATTGCATGCTAGATTTTATGAAATGTTATATGTGACTTAGTTTTTGTTTCTGGGAGTTACAACATTAACATGATTTTGTAATATTTTTTCAATGACCGACACAAAAGAAAATATCTCATTAGTATTATGATTTGTTAGGATAATAATAATAATAATAATAATAATAATAATAATAATAATAATAATAATAATAATAATAATAATAATAATAATAATAATAATAATAATAATAGTAGTAGTAGTTGTTAAATCAGTAATCACATGATTTGACAATAATTCAATAACATCCATCAGAATTTTGTTGTCCTCACTTGATTCTTAGAATGTAAACTGGCGTATCATTCCCAATAATATCAACATGTCCTTTTTGTTTACAGAAAAAATGAGGTGAAAATAACAATGGTCCCCTATCTAGATAATCATTATTTAACAATTTTGGTATTTTAGTTTATTTATTTATTTATAATTTATAGCTAATACATGATAATTGATAGTTTATAATTAATAATAATTGATAGTTTATAATTAATAATAATTAATTTATAATTGATGATTGATAAATTATTATAAATAGCTGATAAATTGTCTGATAGTTTAGTCAATGATCGATAGTTAATAGTTTTTAATTGATAATTGATAATTGATAGTTTATAGCCTCATAATATATAGTCGATAATGATGGTTCATAGTGTATAACAAAGGACTTATAACTTATATTTGATAGTCGATGACAATAACCATATCCTATGTTGATAATACTTTTATTTTCAGAATGAAGAAATGGTTACTGGATGGCCTCTTGGACTTGGCTTCTTGAATACGAGACTTAGAGTTGTGGAATCGCTTCCAGCAGCTTCAGCTTCAGCTTCAGCTTCTTCAGTGGAACCACCATATCAACTGCACATGCCATCCACAAGCTTCTCTTCATTTTCAACCTCTAATCTCGATACTGAGGTCTCGTCTTCCTATTCCTTTCTCAATTAAATTTATGAAATTGCTCAAGAAACTTATTCGGCTGATTACAGTTTATTCTGTTGCATTGCAATAACCAGTCCACAGCATCTTTCTTTCAAGACAAAAGTGTATCACTTGCGCAGCTGATTGGATTTAGAATGGATGACAGAGGACGCTTGTATTTTCCCAAGTCATTGAGGTTTGAAGAAAGGAACATGATACTAGAAAATGGTTCTTTTTCTAATGGCACCAAAGAACAAGAAAAGGATGTTGCTAAGGTCATTTGTATACCTGTGTTACTTGATGCTCTGCTAAAGATTATAAAGAGTAAGAAGAGTTCAAGAAACTAGGATACGATTGATTAACACGTTTGAGAATGCAGATTCATACTTATGGTGTTGCTCATTGGGAAAATTAAGTGAAGATTTCAAGTCATTTCAGCTGGTTTTTGGTAATTGTCATCTATTGTATAACTTTCCCAAGTTCTTTGAAACTTGGAATTAGTTCATAAATATGTGAATATAATAATATTAAGAGGATTATTCTTTTTTTTTTTTGACATTTGACTTTGTTAGAATTTTTTTTATAAAAGAGTTGAGTTTAAATTTTGATGTAGTAAGATTTTTTTTTATAGAAATTTAAAAGGAGAGTGAAATAAAAAAGTAATGAAGAACAAAAACTAACCCACCGAATAAGAAATAAACAACAAGTAAATAAGCAGAAGTCTATCGAGGCACTTTAGTGTTGGCAATGTTGTGAGCCAAGAAATTAATTTGAGCAACTATTTTGTTCACAGTTTTGGGTTGAGCTTGCTGGGTGGTGGTGATGATGTTGAGGAGAGTTTTAGTAGATGGAGCCTAAAGAATCTCATAGTCGAAATCTTCAAGATTTTTTGTCTTTCTTGTTGTTGGTTTGTGTTTGTTAATGTTGATCTTTCTTCGTTGCTTTGGAGCCTTTTTGCACCAAAACCCTCTTTTTATCTTCAAATTCCATCTGGCCTAGGTTGTGTCTCCCTATTTTGATTGAATCATCAGTCGACTCCTCAAGTTCTAGATTAAATCCAACGTGCGTTAGAATTTTCGTAACCAGGTCACCATGTATTTAACCAAGCATTTCCCTTCCAAACACTAGCCAAATTGATTTTGAAGTTTTTGGCTAGAAGTCACACTATTGCCACATCGGTCGTAGAGATGTTCCCAAGATTGAATTTTCTTTGGATAAGAGTACGGGTTACCACATAGTAAATGAGACGAATACTTGAAGTCACATATCGCGAATAGTGGAAATTTGTGATCCTTAGTTCGATAAATAAGAAGGGATTAAGAGGCGAAAAGATAATCAGAGTCATCAATAAATTTAGGAAACTCTTGTGAAGCCAAAGTAGGGAATATCACAGAAAACAACAAATCATTCCAATGAGAGAGAGAAATTTCATGCTTATGATAACGCGAAATTATATCGTATATTTGACTTGACTCGTATAGATTTTAGTCTAGTTTTCATTTATTTATGTTTTGTTATGCCGGTATTATTGTCTTATTTTAGGTACCTCAAACAAAATTGGTCACGGAAAAGATTTGAGTAAAAAGAAGAAATTTAAAATAAAAAAATAAAGTAAAAAAGAGCAAAAGACCCAGAGCAAAAAGTCCAGAGCAAAAAGCCAAGAGGGAATAGCAAAACATGGTGCCTGCCACGTTCTCCACGCGCCTGCCACGCTACAAGAGGTGGCGCCCGCCACTCCCTCCACGCGCCCGCCACACGCTATTCGCACGCCTTCATGTTCTCACACATTCTAGATTATCGCCCGCCACTCCCTCCACGCGCCCGCCACACGCTATTCGCACGCCTTCATGTTCTCACACATTCTAGATTATCGCCCGCCACCTCCTCCTTCATTTTCTCCACTCATCTAATTTTTTCTCCACGAAACCACTTTTTCTGATTTTTCTCCAAGCACGTCATGAACATTTAGGTTACTAACAGAGGAATATAAAAGGAAGGGCAGTTCTACATGAAGAGGCTCGTCTTTTTCTAGCCAGAGTATTGTTCTTAGATTTTTAAGCAGAAACTTACCTGTAACAGTGATAGCTCTTCCACATAGGGGGACTATCACAACTCTAGTTTTAAGTATTTTAAATTACATTTTGTACTCTGAATATCAAGCGTAATCAAACTTCAGTTCCAGTTATTGTACGCGAACTTAATTTAAAATGTTATTTTAATTTTTGTATTATTTCCAGGTTCTATTTTAATTGCATATTTTGATTGTATGATTGTTTCGATACCGTGCATGTATTCTTGTTCTGTACTGTTACATCTTGATAATAAATTAATTCTTATTTTTAAAAATCATGTTTTGTTTTATGTTTAATAATCGTAACAACATGTTTATATTCAAAACCGTGTGCAGCCAAACTGTTTGATACCGGTATGTAAGAACCGTCATCCGGATGGGATTCGGTAATAATTGGCGTTAACTTTTATAAACTATTTTTCTAGTTATAGTTTCTAGTTCTAAAATAAAAACATTTTTGTACGAGAGTAAAAAGATAATAAAGGTTAAGGTTAATAGAATGACGGTTTGAGATTTTAATTGCATATTAGAAATTAGGCAATAATCCTAAACACGGAGAGAGCACTTTACGTTTAATTAAAACTTATTGATTTCCAAAAATTACTTTTAATTCAAATGAGTGAGGGATAACAAAACATTTTGGTTTAAAAGTATAGTCAGAGTCAATAGCACGATAGTGTGAGATAAAGTTTTTTAAATCAATATTTTCTACTGAAAAATATTTTGACTTTTTTTATATATGCCAACGTTTTGTCGAATCCCCGAAGTATGATGAGTTACATATCGGTGTCCCGTTATTAAATATTTTTATTAAAGTTTGAATTTATTTCCCGTTTTCCTCAAACCCAAGATAAATCATTAGCCTTAGATTTACATAGTAATATTAGATAACATTAGTTTGATTATTAGCCCTATTGGGTTTGATATCTTTTAAAACTATGCGATTAGACTGTGCACTTGCAGTCAATAAACCTGATAGACTCTTAAAGTCGCGACCAAGTTTTTTGCGCCGTTGCCGGAGACTTATTTAGTCAATATTATGATTCCATTGTTATGCAGTATAGACTAAGGCAACAATATTTCACTTTTTTATCTGCTGATTGTATGACAAGCACTCGCTCTCAAGGAGAGGAATTAGAGCAACCAACCGACGAGATCGAGCATTTTGTTAGTATAAGACACCGAATCCAAGAATAACGTATTAAATACAATCTTCCTGACTTTAATCTTTCTGAACCAGAACCAAGAATGGATGAAGGACCATAAAATCTTCCTTTCAAGGACTATGTTGTCCCATCACAGGAAGAACCTCACAACAGCATTGCTGCCCCCGCTATTAACCGAAATGATTTCGTGTTGAAACCTTCATTTCTACAAGTTGTCCAACAAAATCAGTTTTCAGGAAGTCCTACGGACGACCCAAACTTACTTTTTTCAGTGTTTGTGTAGTACATAGACACAGTAAAAGCAAATGGTGTCAGCCCCAAAGCAATACGACTATGTCTTTTCCCTTTCTCTTTAAGAGATAGAACTAGAGCTTGGCTCCAGTCTCTACCATCCAACTCTGTTACCACACGGGACGAGTTGAAGAAAATTTTCTTAGCACGATATTTTCCGCCAAGCAAGACGGCTATGCTAAGAGCCAATATCAATGGTTTTAAACAAAAGGAAAACAAATCTTTTTTTGAAGCATGGGAAAGATACAAAGACATGTTGAGACTTTGTCCACATCACGGTCTAGAGAATGGCTGATTATTCACACTTTTATAATGGTCTCTTTTACAACACAAGATTGACAATAGACGTTGCTGCTGACGACGCACTGAGGGATAAACCTAACCAAGATGCTTATTAGCTTATCAAAAGTATGGCTCAAGATCATTACCAATGGGGAAGCGATAGAACTGTTATGGAGAAACCTCAAACGAAAGGCGGTATATACGAAGTTAGTAGCCTAGACCAAGTTAATGCTAAGGTGGAAGCTCTTACCCAAAAGATAGAAAACATGACCACAACTCTCGCAGCCATCGTGGCTGCAGTAGCTTCAAACTGTGATTTATGCGGACTTTATGGGCATGCTGCTCCCCGATATCCACTTTTGATAGGAGTACTAGTTGATCAAGTGAATTATGCTCAAGGGAACCCTTATGGTAATAAATATAACCCAGGTTAGAAGAACCATCCAAAAAATTTGTACAAAAACAACAATGCATTATATGCACCTGGCCAAGCTCCTTCTATACCGCCATGATATCAGAAAGCCGCCCCAATTGTTCCAAATGTTCCTAGGAAATCCAACCTTGAAATAATGTTAGAAAAATTCATAGCCACTCAAGCTCAACAAAACAAATATTTTCTAAATCAAAATATACACATTAGCGAACAACTCAAGCAACTATCAAACAAGGTTGATGCCCTAGCCACTCATAACAAAATGCTAGAAACACAAATCTCTCAAGTGGCTCAACAGCAAGCGGCTACCGCTGCCCGTGCAGGAACATTTCCTGGACAACCACAATTGAATCCAAAAACTCATTGTTGTACCCCAAAATTTTCCCTCTCATTTTATCAAGATTCTCCTCACAAGACTGCTTGAATTTAAGACCAGATTAGGGTTTGCTCAGCTCAAGACCTTTCCTTGCACTGTTGACCTGAAGTTAGGGTTTGAGTTTGCACAGAGATTTTTGGACTTTCAATGCCTCGTGTGACTTTCATACTTCATGTTGGACTCTTAAGATTTCTCATACCAAGTTTCAAGCCTTGAATCACATTTTTTCCCAGTCAATTGGACAGTTGACCTAAAAATCAGTTGTATTGAGGAAAAAGTCAACTGTGGCCAATTTACAGTCAAACCTCATATTTTTTATCCACATCAACATTATAGACTCATATGAACCATTTGATCAAGTTTGTACCACAACTCCTCAAGATATTTGATCAGATCATCAAAAGGGTAAAATGGTCATTTTTAGGGTTTTGACTATAGAATGGCAATTTCTGATTTTTCACCTAGCCAATGGAAAATTGGGTTCAAGCATGGTTTCAAGGACTCAATGGAATCATCTTGACCTAATAACAAGGGTCAAAAGATCTTAAATGCATTGGATTGACAAATGAATTTTCCAGTCAACTTATCAAGAATCAACTGTACACTGAAAAGTCAAACTTTAACTTTTTGGTCAAAATCAAGTGTCAAGGGTCATTTTTCATCAAGATGTGTCAAAACATGAAACTTGTTGACCAATAAACCTAATTTTGGAAATTAGGGTTTAAAAT